TATGAATTTTTGTAAATCCCTCAACGGTAAGAATACTCGATCAGAGTGAAACTGTCAGAGAGACGTTTCCAAACCATCCTTTTGGGTGGTTCCTCAAGTTAGTTTCATTGTGCGAATAGCAGCCAAACACTTATGTAGAGACGAAGTCACAAGACACTGAGAGGTTGAGTAACTTGCTGTTGTTATTATGATTACTCAACAGGCCCAGGCAGTGGGGCACGGCTGCGCTCCTCGCCACTACACTGTGTCACCCAGAACATAGGTCTCCCTCAACACAGAGAAGGGCTTCAGACAATGCTACCCTCACGCGCCGGTCACCAGCGCCGACACCTTCGCTTCACCAGCCCGAACACCAGCATTTTGATTGTAGCCTTTTATCCCGTAGCCACCAGAGGTCGCTTTGACTCCAGTGGAAAGCTCCTCTTGATGCAAAGCAGCTGTGGCTTCAAGCAAAAGCTGGCCAGGTTTGAACTCTATTCAATTTAACACTCATGTAAAAGCTTCACTTTATACCAGGTACCATGAAGCACTTTTAGAGAAGCGTGAGCGACGTTGCTTACTAGGAAGTACCTAAGGAGAAGACACACCAAAAAGCTAAAACGCTATGCAAGTCACTGCAAAAACAATTGGAAGGAACATTGTAGAAATTGTGACTAGAGTCTGGAGTGTAGAGGCTCATCAGGACCGGCCGCTTGATTGAAATTTAAAAGATGAATAAGGGCCCGCCCGGTGGCATAGTGGTTAAGTTCGTGCACTCCCCTTCAGCGGCCTGGGGTTCACAGGTTCAGATCCCAGGTGCGGACCTAGCACTGCTCGTCAAGCCACACTGTGGCAGTGTCCCACATAAAATGGAGGAAGACTGGCACAGATGTTAGCTCAGGAACAATCTTCCTCAAGCAAAAAGAGGAAAATTGGCAACAGATGTTAGCTCAGGGCCAATCTTCCTCACCAAAAAATAAATAAATAAAAATAAAGGATGACTAAGATGGATTTGGGTCTGTGGGGAGGGAATGGCAACATCTTCCAGAAAACAGTGTGAACAAAATCACAAAGGAAGAATAATAGCAAGGCAGGTTCAAGGGGCATACCTGAGGATGAAGTCCCAAGTCCCAGGTTGGTTTCCAGACTGTTCCCTCCCTCCTCTGATAACCCAGCCAGTCGACTCTTCCTCTTCCATATGGCCTTCTAGTCCAGTTGGGCAAGTCTGATCTATGTCCCTGGAATAAGCTATGCTTTTATGTTATCCTTCACACCTCGGGCTGACAGGCTACAAGCCTAGAAAAGGCGGTGACATTGACCACGATGGGAAACCAGGCGATGGGCTGGTTTCAGGGGAGAGAGAAGGAAGGAACTCATTTTCGGCAAGTGAAGTTTGAGATGACAATGTTCAACTTGAGGATCTAATACACATTTATTCAGCCAATATCGGGTATCTGTATGTCTCAGGCACTGTGCTAGCCATGGTAGAAACAGCAAAGAGAAGACAGGGTTTTTTGGGGGATTTTTTGGGGTTTTTTTTCTGCTTTATCTCCCCAAATCCCCCTGGTACATAGTTGTAAATCTTAGTTGCAGGTCCTTCTAGTTGTGGTATGTGGGACGCTGCCTCAACGTGGCCTGACGAGCGGTGCCATGTCTGTGCCCAGGATCCAAACTAGCGAAACCCTGGGCCGCCGCAGCAGAGCACATGAACTTAACCACTCGGCTACGGGGTGGGTCCAGACAGTTTATCCTCTAGAAGGAAAAATAGATATTAAAAAATGTATTGTTATATGCAAAATTAGAATTGAGCATATTTTGGAGGAGAAGTAAGATTAAAATATCTTGAGTTGTTAAGCATGCATACCGATCATAATTGAAGCCAATGGACCAGCACTGTGCTGGGTGCTGTGGAGAAACAAAAAGCTGAACAAGACACCGTTCCATGAAGAGTTTACACTCCAGCTGGAGAGACGAGGCCGACTGACATGTGCAGGCGATGGACAATACGTGATAACCAAGTTTACCAGTCAGAATTCTTAGTTCTGTTCTACCAGGGACAGAAACCAACTGTGGCTAACCGAAGGAAACTGGGGAGCTCAGGGAATTGCCAGGAGCGCCAGAGATCCAGACGGAGGTCTCACACTTAGAGACAGCAGCCCGAATCACACCGGCGCCCCGGCCCCACCCCTCACTGGGCACAGGACGCTGGCATTGGTGCCACTCCTCTGGCACCCTAGGCTTTGATCCTCCGACCCTCTGCCAGAGTTTTATCCACCTTCCATCACCCCATCCGCACCTAATTCCCTCCTGAACCAAAGTCTGGGCGGGTGCCTGGATTGGCTGAGTCCAGCAGACAGGCCCATGCTGTGGGCGCAAAAGTGGCTGTGAAAGTGAATATCTGGGAATTTCAAATGCTACACTGGAGGTTGTGCTACCTCCTGCTAGACTCATAAGGTGGGGATTCCCAAACTCTAGAAAAGGGGGCTGGGGCCTGGGAGATGAAAAAGAATGGCAAATATCTACCACAGAAAGTATTCTAACTGTCAGAACTGTTAGGAACAGGATATGATAAGGTCCCAATTGCTCAGTAAAAGAAAGAAGTTAAAAAAAAAAAAAAACAGAGATGGGGCCGGCCCCTGGCCGAGTGGTTAAGTTCGTGCGCTCTGCTTCGGCGGTCCTGGGTTCGCCGGTTTGGATCCTGGTTGTGGAGCTACGCACTACCCATCAAGCCATACTGTGGCAGCATCCCACAGAGAAGAGCTAGGGTGGTCTACAACTAGGATATACAACTATGCATTGAGGCTTTGGGGAGGGAAAAAAAAAAGAGGAAGATTAGCAACAGATGTTAGCTCAGGGCCAATCTTCCTCACACACACACAAAAAACAGAGATGACCACAAATGACATCATCAGGGAACTTAAAGAATGTGCAAAAAATGGGTGCAGAGAGCATCACAAGAGGGAGAGGCACAGATCATAGAGATGAGAGGCTTCAGAGGCCATCTGGGCCAGCCCTCCAGCCACCGCCAGAACCACCGCCTCAACCAGAAGAGGGAAGGCTCGGGAGGTGTCAGCATGGTTTGTATCGTGACAGTACAAACACCATCCACACCTGTGAAAGAGAATTCACCTCTTCCTTTTCTACTTTTATATAAATGGCGACACTAATCCTCCAGGCTCATCTTCTTCTCTACTTCGATGAGATCTCCATGCCAGTGGATTGGCCCATTACAGGTCTCTCTTCAATTTATCCGTCTCCATTTCATCTTTGTTCCTAGATTCCCCAAATTGCCTCCTAAACGATCTCCCAGCTTTCCATTTGTCCTTTCAAATTGTTCCCGATATTACTATAAGATTAACTTTCTTAAAACTGTTTTTCACCAAGTCATCCCCCAGCTCAGACAACCATAACGACTCCCAATCGCCCACTTCATCAAATCTGAACTCATCTGCAGACACAGGCTGTACTGGACCCACTAACTCAGAGACTCTCTAAGTTCACTAACACTGAAGAAATCCAATTCACCGTCTTCTAACTAGATTAAACCACTTGAATTTTGCTATGATTCTCCATGAGCAAAACCCATATTTCTAACAATTCTCACATGCATCTTATCTTTCTTGCAGCGAGGCGTACCATGTTGAGACAGGGAATTCTAGAAAGTGTCAGCTTTCCAAGTAGTGTAGGAGTTTACATCTCAAGCTTCCAGACTTCCGCAGGCTGTTGCCTAGCTCTCTGCTTTAGAGCTGTACCTCACTGCTCAGTACTTCCTTATGCACAACCTTCTCCTCTCCCCCCTGAGCAGATTTCTTTTCACTTGTTTTGTTTCCTGCCCTTCTTACACACTTCCATTCCTTCTTTTCATTCCATAATGATTTACCCTTTCCAACTCTAACAACTTGTTTTATTGATATTATTCTTGACCTTAAAAATAACACCGAGGTGGTTCAGCCAATGTCTATGCCATTGGCAACCTAAGGTATAGGTAGAGGAGAAAGAGAAATGAAAAAGAAAGGAAGAAGAGAAAGTGGCAGAGGAAAGAAGTTGGGAAAGGGAAATAATGATAATCGGTACTATTATCCAGGGTGTACAGTGTGCCAGATACTTTCTATACATCCTCGGAACAACCTTGCAAGGTCGGTATTGCTACCCTCAATTTTAAAATGAAGAAATAGAGGGTTACATGGCCCACCTGAGGCTATACATAAAGGTCAGAGACCAGATTGCATCCTAGGTGAATCAGGCCCACCCTCTTGCAACTACAGCCTATTACCTCCACAACAAAGAGTAAGAAAAAAAGAACATAGAGACAGGTAAGGCCGTACCAACGATTGCTTCAAGTGCGACTCAATAACAACAGCATCATTTATTACCAACAATTATCTAGAAATAGCCATTACATTTTCAGCATGACAATTTTTTTTCTCTTATCTTTCTATGCAAATCCCTCTCCTCTACAACACGGACATACACACAGGCATACCCACTCACACACGCACATCCTTAGCCAAAAAGCTCATATTACAATTTACGTCCTCTTCGTCCTTACACTCGTGTCTGGGTTACATGAGTCCCTTTTTAGTTTTGACCCATGCTAACCTTTTAAGATTATCTTTACTTCTTCCACTTTTGCTTTAATTCATGCTTCTCCCCCTTTTCCTTACATCAGCCCCTCCTTTTCTCTTTTATTTCTCATCTCCCTCATTACCTACACATTTCTCTTACTTTAAGAGTGTTGCATCTAGCAGGTTCTCAGTAGATATCTATTTTGAGCTCCATACTGTTCTCATGTCTGCCCCCCCTTGTCTTCGTCTTCCTCATCATTCCTCCTTCCCTACATCCGATTCCCACCCCGATTGCTCTCGATGGCCCACGCCCCTTCCATTAGTCCTCTCTGCTCCTCACAAACTCCACTGGTCATCCTATCCACCTCTCACCCCTTTTCCCGCCTTTTTCCCCCAAGATTCCAAAGCGCGAGGACCTCATTGTCCTCCTCCCCCCATCCTCCAACCGGCCCTCAAGGCTGCCTTGTTACCATGACGACAGAGCTACTCAAAGCTGAAGTCAAGGACCTGGTTGCCATGGCTTCCGCTTCTCCGCCTCCAGCCCCGCCCGCGCGCCTGGCAGCGTTGCGCCTGCGCAGTACGCAACGCGAAGGGCCTCGGGGCCGGGGCGGGGCTTCAAGGGAGAGGGAGGGAAGCCGGAGAAAGGATAAAAAAGGGAGCGGAGCTGGCGCCTACGGTGGCCGAAGAGGGACGCGCCGAGCCGGAGGCTGCAGGATGGTAGGCTGTGCGAAGGAGGGAGGGGAGGGGGAAGCGAGGGGCGTGGGCTGCACCTGCGGGGGTCCTTGGGGGCCGCCCTCGGTGGGCGCCGCTCTCTCTTCCTCCGGTCCGCAGAGGCCCTCACTTACCTGGGCGGGTGGGCGAGCCGGTCTCGGAGGGAAGAGCAGCTGGAAGTGGCTTTAGGGAGAAGGGGCGGGAGGGGGCGCATTTGTGGGGCGAAAGCGGGGGACTAGGGGGCCGGGGGACCGTCCCGAGCCGGGGAGAGCGCGCGGGATGAGATCCAGGGGGTCCCGACCACTGCCGCAGGGAAGTCGCCCCAGGAATCGGGGCGCGGGGGCCTGCTGGCCGAGGGAGGCAGCGAGGTCGCGGGTCAGCAAGACCCTCTGTCCCCCTCCAGCCCTGAGTGGAGCGGCGGCCTGCGGGGAGAGCGGCGTGTGGGAGGGGATAGTTTCCAGGTCCGAGAGTGGATGTCCCGCCTCGGGCTGTCGCCCTGCTCTCTCAGAGGCTGGGCTGAGGTGGGAGAGCCAGGTGGGCTCGAGGTCTCGCTCTCGGGGAGCTCGGCTTTGGATCCCCTGCTCCGGTGCTCTTCACTCTCCGCCCCCCATCCCATTCTCTTTCCGGAACCCAGGCCTTCCGTCTTCCTGCTTGCCCCCGCCCCCATCTTAGACAAGCCGGGCTCCTAGGCGCCCCTCTGTTGCCCTCCCGCCAAGCTAGGAGAGCTTCCCCTTCCCCGCCACCGAAAAACCCAAGAATTCTGATCTTTACTAAATTAGTACTGTTCCACACACCCAGGGAGTCCAGCCCTGGTCGTGTCTATGGAGAGGAGAGCTGCAGGGACAAGGAGATCACTCCGGGACGTGTCCTGGACCCCCTGGAACGGGGAAGCTGGGCTGCGCAGGGTAGAGAGGGCTCTGCACGCCTCCCCTCTCTACCCAGCTTGCGCTTTGTCCCACAGACATTCTCTGGGGGAGCCACCGTGGATGGCCGTGTCCTAACTGAGGAACTGAAAGGGAAATTGGGCACCTGGTATCTGAGGAGGAGTGTGTGCCTAGCAGGAGGCACCCTAAAAGGAAGAAAAGAGAGAAATATCAGTGGCCAAATGCCTAGATGGCTGAGGAGAGAGGAGGGTGAAATCTGGGGGTCCCAATACCGTGTACTAAAGTGAAGGATACCCCTGGGCATAGGACTCGCATTGGAGGGCACTGTATTGGGGACATCAGCAAGGGTGTATGGCTAGGATGGGGCAGAGAATTGAGGTAGCTTCTTAAGCAACAAATATTCGATTTCGGTGTGTCAGATAGAGGGAGCATGAAAGGAAGCAGACATCTCTTTGACATCAGCTATGGCTGCTTGTCGCTGTTCGAGGCATTTTACTTAGCTTTGGAAAACAGGGTCAGGAAACAGGAGGTCAGGGAATCGTAATAGTGATACCTAATGTGTTACAGTGCCAGGCGCTGTTGCATATATCGACTCATTTAGTCCCTCCTAACAACGTTGTAAGGTGGGTGCTTGTATTATCTCCATCTTACAGACCAGGAAACCGAGGCCCAGAGACATAAAGTAATTGCCCAAGTCAGATTACTCAATAGTAGAGCCAGGATTTGAACCCAAATGACAGACTCAGAAGCTCTGACACCCCCCAGAAGGTAGGGCACCTGTTGGTGGGAATACTCAGAGTTGACAGCAAGGGCTGATTCTGGAAGAAAGTAGGAGCTTTGAGTAGAGAGGAGTTAGATGGGACAAGTCTGGGGCTCTGTGTTTATGGAGGAAACAAACCCAGAGAACCAAATCTCTGACCCTCGGCTCTGTCTCTCCACCCCGCGCCCCCACCCCAGATGCGATTCATGCTGCTGTTCAGCCGGCAGGGGAAGCTGCGGCTGCAAAAATGGTACCTGGCCACATCGGACAAGGAGCGAAAGAAGATGGTTCGGGAGCTTATGCAGGTGGTTCTGGCTCGAAAGCCCAAGATGTGCAGCTTCCTGGAGTGGAGGGACCTCAAAGTTGTCTATAAGAGGTGACTCAGACCTGCCTGGATGCTGCTCGAGTGGGGTCTGGCAGTGGGTTCAAATGGCTGAGTGATAAGCGGTCCCCTGGGGCGGGGAGAGCTGGGAGCTAAGGACGTCTGGAGGGCTGTGAACTCCAGCTTCCTGTACTTTCCAAACTCGCCTTGAAAAAACTCTGTTCCCACCTGGTTCTGCTCAAGCCTGACACCCACTTCATGCACATACCTCTGTCCCAAAGGCCCTGTCTTGTCCCTTGTACATGTTCCTTGCTTCGATAGTCATGGATCCTGTGCTGCTTTTCCCAACACACACGCACACCCTTTCCATTTCCTTCTCTGAGCAGGTGAATTAGTTGGCTCAGGTTTTTGCTGAGTCAAACCGAACAGGTCAGAGGGCAAGAGGGAAAGCGCTTGCGTCTTTGCCTGTGTTTGGGAGAGGCCCTGAGAGGCAGAGTGAGTTACTGTTTACTATTTGCATGCCCTGGGGCCACCTGGCCTCTGTCCAATAGGGGCCCAGACCCTGAGCTGGGAATGAGGAGAAATGGGAGGTTTGAGCCCAGAAAGCCTGGGTCCTGAAGCAGGCCCAGCAGCCCTCCCAGCTGTCCCTCATGTGCCGCTGTCTTCAGATATGCCAGCCTCTACTTCTGCTGCGCCATCGAGGGCCAAGACAATGAGCTCATCACGCTGGAGCTGATCCATCGATATGTGGAGCTCCTGGACAAATACTTTGGCAGCGTAAGTCTCCCCACCCACCATACTGGGCAATCCCCTCTTTGTCCAAACTCTGGGCCCTTCGAGTCTCTGCCTGGAAGACTCAGGGGAGAGGTGAAGTTGGAGCAATGAGAGCAGTAATTAATCTCCCTCTTTAAGCCTTAAGCCTATTAGCCATGCCCCTTAATCAGCCCTGGGGAGGAGAGTGGGGACCAGAATCTGCCACTCAATCAGTCCATCTAGAACTCAGCTCAGACTTCACAAGAACAGAGGCCGAGTTGACATTTTATCAGTGGTTCCTGACCTTGACTTTGCATTGGAATCTTCTGGAGAGTTTTTTAAAAATAGCAATGCCAGATCCCACCCCCGGAGCTTCTATGTTAACTGATCTGCGATACAGCCGGGGCATTGGCAGTCAGCTCAGATCTTAGCTGAGGATTAGTAATAACTCCATAATTTGTATTCCACTGAGCAATTTACAGAGTGTTTTCAGGTTCTTTTGTTCGTTCCTCATTCTGTCCTGTGAGTAGGTGTTGGTATCTCCATTTTTGGACGAGAAAACTGAGACTCAGAGAAATTGAATGACGTGTACATCTTGCTGGTTAGTGGTAGAGCCCTGCTTGGAAGTCAGGTCTTTTACCCCATGATCCAAAATCTCCTCATTCTCTGTCCCACAGTGCCTAGGGAGGGAGGCTAGCCCAGCCTCTGGTCGGAACAATGTCACAGATTTGGGGGCTGAAGACAACAGGAGCTACAATCAAGGGTAGATTAGAGCAACTGATATTTCATGATTAAAGAGAAAGAGGCTAGAGAAGGAAAAGGAAAAGCTGAGCCATGCAGTAATGCCTAGGAGTTGGGAGGACATAGACCTGGGACAAGAGCCTGACGTGGGAGGAGTAGTCATAAGAAGACCGTGTTGCCTTGATGAGAAAAGAGGTGGGGCGGCTGGGGTGCAGGTGGGGCGGGAATGCACCTCGACGCTCAACTGCCTTCCCCGCCTCCGCCCAGGTGTGCGAGCTGGACATCATCTTCAACTTTGAGAAGGCCTACTTCATCCTGGATGAGTTCTTGATGGGGGGTGATGTCCAGGACACCTCCAAGAAGAGTGTGCTGAAGGCTATTGAGCAGGCAGACCTGCTCCAGGAGGTATGGGCCCGGGACAGGGAGGAGGAAGAGGACCCAGGCAGAGGGTGCCCTCTCTACCCTGGACACCTTGCCTGCCGGCCCCAGCTGCCCCCTTCTTGCCGACAAAGGGGCCCCCCTCCCTGTGTTATCTGGCCCCCATGGCGCCCCGTTGACCAGCTTGCCCTCCAGCCCTGACTGCTCAGGGTGGGAGGTCGGGGTGACCAGTTCTCCCTCCTTCTCCTGAGACCCAAGGGATCTCGTCTCCCTTGTCACACATTTCTCTTGGCATCTAGGATTGCCCAGAGAATTGGAGAAGGGGCACCTGACAGATAATTCTTTTCTTCCCTGGTATCTTCCCCTCTTTTTTTTTTTTTTTGTTAACACACACATACTCAAAAGCCTCTGCTGCCCAGAAGCAAAAGGCTATGGGCATTTGGGGGTGGGGCAGAGGGCGCCCAGCTGTTCATTCTCCCTGCTTATCTGGTGCCCCCACCCTCGCCCCATTACTGCCTGCCCCCTCTCTGCTGTGCCACTGCTGAGACTTGGTGCAGGAAGATGAGTCACCGGAATCTGCAGTGACGAGCAAGCCGGCCTGAGCTGGCTCTGAGGAGGGGGAGAGATGGGGGACTCATCTCTGCAGTGGGAGAAAGGGCAGGATTGAACTCGCCACCTCACTGGTCCAGCTTCCCCTTCACACACACACACACACACACACACTCACTCACTCACTCACACTCACACTCTCACTCACATTCACACTCTCACTCACTCCTGTTCCTGGTGCCCTGCTCAGACCCTAATGACTCACCTTTCTGCTGTTGGGTTCACCTTCCCTCAGGGACCTGATGCCAACCTCTTACTCTCTCCCCCCTTCTGAGAAAAGGACCCAGCCATTGCCACCCCCCAGCCCTCGGAAAGCGGATGTCCCAGCCCCCAGTCCCAGCTTTACTCCCTTCCCCCTCAAGGACGGAGCTGAGCCCCCTGGTCACCAAGCTTCTGGCTTGGGATGCTCTGGGTGGTGGTAGACTCAACCTGGACCCCCCTTCTTGCTACAAGTTGGCTGTGGAGGGTGGTCCCGGGAGGCTGGGGAGCTCCTCCGAAGGGTGCCCAGCTGCTCCAGCCTCGGGCTCATGTTGACTTCTCCCCGCCCCCGTCTCTCTGTGCCTCCCCGACTCTGACCGTCCTTGTGATGACTCTCATCTTGCCCACCTTCCCCTCCCTCATCCCTCCCTCATTCCCTGCCTGCCTCTCCTGGTGTCTCTGCCTCACCCTGTCTGTCTCTGCCTTAGGAGGACGAGTCGCCGCGCAGCGTGCTGGAGGAGATGGGTCTGGCCTAGCCCTGCCCGGGCCGCGTGGAGATGCGGGGAGCCGGTGGAGAGGCAGGGCCTGAGTGGCCCTTTGCTCGGAGGGAGCCACCTGCCCCTCCTCTGCTGCCTCACCTTCTTTTGGAGCGAGCTGTGGGCTCAGGACCCTCCAACATTCCCTCCCTCCACCCCAGACCTCTTGTTTCCCCTTTTCCCACCGAAGGTTTTAGGAGCTAGGAGGTAGGAAAATGTGACCAAGACGGGGGTGCTATTTGGCTTTCATTCCCTGCCTTTGAAGAACTAATATGACCCCCAACTTCCTCCCATCCCTTAGAACTGTAAATATATAAATACATCAGGTTAAAGGGGAAAGGTTTTCAGGGCTCCTCTCTGCTCCCTGCCCCGTAACCTACCTCCACCCCTCCCCGCAGCCAGCCAGGGCAGCTTCTCTGCCCAGGAGGGGGGCTTCCGTGTAGTGAGAGGGAAGTCCTTTCCCCTTCCCGGCCCCCTCCCCTTCCTTCCTGGCTGCAATGGGGCCTCTGTCCAGTGTGGGGGAGGAACAACATAGTTAATTTTTTTCTAACCTTGCCACTCTGAGGGAAGGGAGGATTGGGGGAGGGGCAGGCTTTATGGGAGACTGGGCCCCGTGCCTCCTTCACTCCGAGTTCTGGGTGAGGCAGGAGCTAAGGGGGTGGGGTGGGGGAAGTGTCTGACTTTTTTTCCTTTCCTCTGAAATAAAAGGAAAAGCATTTCTGGACTTTGCCTGCCTTAGGCTCTGTGGAGGCAGGCAGGGCAGCTGGGATCAGCAGGGGAAGGGAACACAGCCCATTCGACTCTTCCCGGAACGAGGGTTGCCAGATTGAGCACCAAAAAACCCAGGGGACACCCAGTTCTATTTGTGTGATAACGAATCATTTTTTTAGGATGAAGGTGTCCTTTGCAAGCGGATCAGTTGTTTATCTGGAATGCAAATCTGAAATACAGGTGTCCTGTATTTTTTGTGGCAGCCCTACCCCAAATACATTGGCAAGCTCAATGCCTCTCTGACCACGGTGGTGTCTCTGGCTCCCTGAGGTGCCTTCAGCCAGTGAGGAGCAACGCCTGGGCCTGGGGACCTGGTGTCATCCTCTGAGGTTTCTTTGTGGCAGATTTCATTCACCTGGTCTAGTTTTGCTTAGGGAGGAGACTCAGGAGTTCAAGGGTATACCCCACACTCTGTGCTTAGAAAAGGGTTGACAAGTGGCTAAAACCAGGATGTTTCTGTAGCTGTCGAGCCCTGCTCCCCATATTTCTTGTGAAGTGCGTGAGGCCAGGGAATTGAGGGAGCAGTAAGGGATGCCGGTGGAGGAGGTAGAACAGGGCCCTGCGGGGAGCCACCAGCGCTGTCTACGTGGCTGGGGATCACAGAAAAAAGAACCTAGGTGGCCCAGGACTGTAGCATCTCATCCACTCGGCATCCCTCTGCCAGGCCTGGAAGTGGAATTGGGGTTTCTTCATGGTTTTGAGCCTATCCTACCCCCAAGTACGGCCTGAAGTGCTCTGCCACTCACTCCTAGCTTTTGGGCAGATGGCCATTGGGACTGGCGCTTCCATCACCGCCCCTTGGGAAGGACCACGCAGGCCCAAGGGGACGGGTGAATAACCGAGAACACAGTCCTAATAAAATAGTCACTTTTATTTCTTAGCAAAACTATTTCCTCCGTGAGGGGTATTTACAACAGAGAAGGGAAAGGGGAGTAAATTCACAGCCATCGGGAGGCGGTGGAGAGGCTCCTGGAGGCCCAAAGGGCCGGAGACGGACACACTTCTTCACACAATTAAGTGGAACTGCTTTTTCCAGTTTCGGACAGGGACGTCCCAAGAGGGACTAGGGGGACAGGGCCCCGTTGAGGGAGGGAACTCGCACAGACCACCTGCCCGCCTGGGCTGGCCCCGGGACACCCGTGAGTGAGTTTGGGGAGTTCGGGCTTCCAACCGGGTAGACGTCTGAGAGGTCCCGGCACGGCCCGGGGGCGGGGCGGCCCGCGGGCGGAGGGGGCGGGGGCGGGGCCCGGTGGCGGCCGAGGGCGGGGCCGGGGCGCATGCAAACACCGAGAGGGGCGAGGAACGACACGGAGGGGGGTGGCGGCGCGCGCGCAGCGGCGGCGGCGGCGCGCGGGGGCGGGGCCGGGGTCGGTCACGGGCGCCGGAGCAGCACGTGCTCTATGTAATTCTCCAGCTCTTCCTGCTCCTGCAGCCGGCGTTCCTCGGCCTCCGCCTCCTCCTGCGCGCGCCGCGCCTGGGCCTCCCGCCCGGGATAGTGGTGCAAAGGCGGCAGGGCGTGGTGGTAGTGCCGGCGGCGCGAGGCAGCGGGCGGCTGCAGTGTCCGCGGCCGGATGTAATTGGGAAAAGGGTGGTAGGGCCCCGGGGGAAACCCCTCGTCCTCCTCGCGATCCCAGGGCGGGAGCACCTCGTTCCAGTCGGGCAGCTCGTCTCGAGCGGGGGCGGGGGCGGGGGGCGGGGGCTGCGGGGAGCGGACATGGGTAGGGATGGGGGCTACCCGGGGGGGTGGCACGGGCTCAGGAGGGGCGTTCTTCTTCCGCTTCCGCTTCTCCTCCACCTCCTCGATGATGCTGACCACGTCGTCCGCTGGCAGGTGGAGTTTGGTGGACAGCTCAATGAGGCTATCGATCGTCTGCGGGTCCATCTCTTCGTCGTCGTCCTCCTCCTCCCCGCCCTCCTCTGCCCCCTCGGCCTCCTTCCGTCGGTGGCCGGGTGTCTCCTCCTGGGAGCGCTTGTCCTCGGCTCCGGCTTCCCCGTCCTCCTCCTCTGCGAACAGTAGCGCGTTCTGCCGCGCCCTCTCCGCCTCCTCCGCCTCTGCCTCCGCCTCCGCCGCCTCCTCATCCTCTTCCCCCACCCTCTCCTCCCCGCCGCGTCTCTCCTGCTCCGCCTCCTCCTCCTCCCTCTCGCTTTCTCGCTCCTCCTCCTGCTGCAGCCCCCGACCCCCTAGGCCGCGCTGCCGGGCCCCGCCCTGCAGCAAATACTGGAGCAGCAGGTCGGAGGCGAGGTCGGCCAGCCGTTCTTCCTGGGCCGCGGCCTGCCGTGTGGCCTCAGCCTGCCGCCGCCCGGCCTCTACCTGCGCCAGCCCTTGCTGTAGAAGGCGCTCCCCCGCCTCGGAGCCGCCCAGGAGTGAGCTCTCCGGCCGGCGCGCCTTGGGGAAGGGGGCGCCCAGGCCTTGGTACGCCTTGGACAGGGGTGCCAATGCCTCGCCTAGGTGTGTTTTGGGGGAGGACACTCCTTCCCCGAACTGGTGGGCTTCGGGAAGGGCCCCGCTCTCGGGCATTCGCGCCTGGAATTGCGTGGAAGCGGGGGGCGGCAGGGGCGCGCGCTCCGGGACGCGCGCCTGGAACTCTCCCCAGGAAGCGCGCCACACGCGCTCTGGTCCGGGGCTCTCCAGATTGACTCGGGTCAGCGTGTGCGTGCGAGTTTCCGTCTCTGCTGCCGCCGTCTCTTGCTGGCGCTTGGCGCTGCTCGGACTGAAATCACGCAGTTCCTGGAGCAGAGAGGCTAGCGCCTCGAGCTCCTCAGAAGGGTCGCCCGCCTCAGGACCATTCTCCTGAGTCTGAGGGCGAGGCGGGCCCGCGGGCGCTTGGGTCTCTGGCGCCGGGAGGCTGTGGGTCTGGCTGCGCACGGTCTCGGTCAGCAGAGCTTCTGCTGCTTCTTCCGCTGGCCCCTGCTGGGAGCTGCCCGGCGCCGGGGGTGAGGCCGGGCGGTCGAGTGCCTGCAGCAGCACCGCGGCCAGCGCCCGGGGATCCACACCCTGGAAAAGCTCTCCCTCCTCCTGCGGCTCTGAATTTCGAGCGGCTCGGACCTCTGGGGCGCTACCATCCTTCGACCCGGGCACTGCGTCCTTAGCTACCTGCTCTTTATGCTCAGAGCTGAGAGGAGGTGGCTGCGCCTCAGGACGCCCCGGGGGCGCTGCTCCCAACCCCTTGATCAGTAGAAGGAAGCAGAAGAGGGCGGAAGCCGGCAACCTGAGCGATTTCATGACCAAGGGACTGCCGGAGACTGTGAAAAATAGAAGGGGCCAAAAAAAGAGAGGATTTCTGTAAGCATTTTCCGCTCTCTGTTTCTATATTCCCTTCCCCCACCTTGAATCAGAAAATCCGGGGCTTCCCTGATCCCCCCTAACCTTACCCAGAAGAGGGACGTGAGGAGCAAAGGAGGAAGATGTTGTGCCGATCTCTGGAGTCGTGTAAATGGGAAAACGCCCGCAACCCTCGCTCCCCCAGTGCCTCCTCGCCCCCTTCTCTGAGCCATCTAACTGCCAGCGCCCACATACTAAGCAGCAAGGATAGGGGAGAAAAATCTCTGCTCCCTCCCCACAGGACTCCCCGGATGGTGCGTGGGCGACTTCAGCAGCAAGAGAAACGCGGCGACTCCCCCATTTACCAGGGACCCTTGCCGGGGGCTCCCCGCTGTGTTTTCAACACCCCCATCTGGGAGGAGAGAGAACCCTCCCTCACGCCCAAGACTGCCGACGGTTTGAGGGACGGACATCAGAGTATTTACCAGCTGGTGTCACGACGCGGGAGGTGGAGAGGAGGGTCGGGGTGGGGGGGTAGGGACAGGGGAAGATCGGGATGCGTCCGCCTCGGTTCCGAGCGGTGGCTAGGATTCGAGCGACGGTCGAGGTCGGCGTCCAGTGGGCTGGGCTCAGCTGGGTCGGCGCAGCTCCAGGAGGCTCGCTCGCTCCGGCTTCAGCACGCTGGACAGCGCCCGCGTCGCTGCCTCTTTATAAAGGAGAGCGCGCGCGGTCACGTGGGCTCGCCCCGCCCCATTGACGTCAATGTTCATTCATGGGGAAGCGGGCGGGCGCCTAGAGGCGGGAGGACGCCCAGCGATTGGAGGACGCCTTTCTCTCCCGGCCCGCGCCTGCGCGCTGGGGTCTTCGGCTGGAGGGGCGTGCGCTAGCCGAGCACCGGGAAACGAATGAATGAATGAATGAATGAAATGCCAAGGCGGGAGGGGCAGGGGGCTACGAATGAATGAAGGAGGGACAAGGAGAAAAGGATGAATGAATGAATGGGAGAATGAATGGAAGGGTGGATGCAGAGGCGCTGGAAGGCGGGAGGGTGGGTTACAGAGCAACTTGCAGCGGCGGGAGACCGTCGCTGAGCGGAATAGGATGGGGGCATTCCCAGCGTCTGACTGGGCACCAGCAGGAGATCCATACTGGGGAGGGGGTCGGGTTCCTCATCCCCTGACCTCACGGTCCATGGGGAACACGCCCAAGGACAGCGTGAACCTGAGAGGAGGGACCGGCGCCTGCGGGCGCTGTCGTGGATCTGCGGTGCGGGGTGCCGGCCCTGGGCCGGGGCAGATGGGTGGATCGTGCGGTTTTGCTAATCCCATCGGAAAGGGTCCAAGTCAGAAGAGAAAGGGGAAAGATTGAGGATGTGTGTGCTTCTGTGTCTTGTCTGTTCACGGTCAGTGCGTGACTGGAGAAAAAGGTGTGTCTGTCCTTCTGTCCAGCTGACTCTGTAGCGTATGTTGGTGCCCCCGCTGTGCCCCTTTTCAGTTCACCTCTCCCCATCCTCCTGCTTCTTTCCTTACTGCTGCTTCCCCCCCAAAGGACATTTGGAGGGCAAGAGCAAACCAGGTGGGGAGGGGGTTGTGCAGGTGGGGAGGGTGACAACTCCAGCTCTCTCCGCCGCTTAAAGGGAAGGTTTGACAGAGATGCGGGGGGGTGGGGAGTGAAGGGGAAGCGGTGGGTTTGCAGCATCAGTGATTGCCCCTCTCTGACACCAGACCCCTCCTCCGTATCTCCTGCCAGAAGGTTGGGGCTGGGGGCTTGGACAGCTAGAGGTTCTGGGGGTGGGGTGGGGGGAGATGACGCACAGATTGCGCAAAGAGAATCCATCAACGAGCCGGGTCCAGTGAAGGGAGACCAGCCGTGGGCGGGGGGTTGGGGGAGGACGGAAATGGGGAGGGGGCAGGGGAGAGGAGAGAGAGGCAAGGGGAGCAGCCACTGCAGGAATGAAGGGGAGGGAGGGAAGCTGGAGGGGGCTGCGGTGCAGGCAGAGAGCTGTGCGGGGGCGTGGGCAGGGAAAGGGGGGAGTGACAATGACACACGCCAGACACACAAGAACTGCGGACACAGAGGTGCCCGTGGGCACACGCAGGGCACCCGCACCCTAAGGCTCTGGAAACCGGGATCAGGGCTGATTGTCAGGGGCTCAGAGACTCGTTCAGAGCCAGTGCTCAACCCCCTCCTCATCTCTTCCTAGCACTGACCCTCATTCTCCCCCATCTCTCTTCTCTCTCTCTCTCTCTCTCTCTCTCTCTCTCTCACACACACACACACACACACACAGACTCACGTGCTTTCCCTCTACAGCCAGCAGTGGCTTCTCGGTTCCATCAGTGGCTCGACTTTCCCAGAAGAAAGCCCATCAGCTCTGCGGGGAAAGAGGTGGGGAGGAGTGGAGAGAGGCAAGAGAGAAGAGCTGGGGGCAGGAGAGGGAGGAAAGAAGGAAGGAATCTGGAACAGGTAGAAGGAACAGGCTAAAGGAGAAAGATAAAAAACTGAGAACCAAGGGGACTGGAGATGCCAAAGAAGGGAAGGAAAAGACAGGGCAGCAGACCCCTCAGCAGTGCCTCACCACCCGCCCCCCCCCAACTATCTAGACCTTCTCCTGGCCATGTGGGCTCCCTTCATTTCTCTTCCTCCCCCTCCCCATCTCCCCTGCATCTTCCCAGTCGGGTTACCAAGAGCAGTGGAATGAGGAGGGGGTCACGTTACCTTCCTGAGGAGGATGAATCAGAGAGAGATGGCTCAGACATCTGGAGAGGGGGAGGGGAAGCCGTCCAAGAGAGAAGGCAGCGGAGAGGGAGGGCAGGCTGAGCGGCTGATGGGGCTAAGAGACCAAGTGTGAGATGAGGGAAGATAGACACATAGAAAAACTGTTTGTGTTCCTGTGGGCTTGTGTGTGTGCACACGCACCTGTGTGTGCATGTACATGCATGTGCATGTGTGTTTGTGTGTGTACAGAGATTAATGATACATATGGGGGAAAGAAAAAGAAAAGGAATTGAGAAGACTGTTTATTTAATCAGATTGAGAGTGGATGGGCACGGGAGTGTTCCAATTTAAATATGTAATCTTCTCTTCCACTCTGTGTGGCTGTGTTTTTGCCTATTTCCAGGTGTCTGTGTGTGAGTGAGTGTGTGTGTTCTGATCCCTCCTGAGTGCCTGTATACCTGGTCGGTTGGGAGCACATCCAGTCCAGGCATCTGCTGGTGTCTGAAAAATGTGCCCAGCTTGGCGTGACAATAATGTGTGTGTGTGTGTGTATGTCTTTGTGGGTCCTTCCATGCCTGTTGGTATATGTTAGAGATTATGTGGACTTCTGTGTACTTTGATCTTTCCTGCCCCTCCCCCACATCCACCTTTTTCTTTAGATTTCTGTGCCCTAAAGCCTCAAGATCCAAGTCACTCATCCGCAGCCCCCAAGTTTGGGTCTTTGCCCTTGTTTTCAGAGAGTTCCCCCATTTCTCCATTCTTCCCCAGCTCCCCACCCCTTCCTTCCTCTGCTCTAGCCCAGAAGCCCAAGGGAGCTTCTCAGAAAGTGACATCCCAAGAGTCTCAATATCATGGAGTAGGGGAGGGGGCAGCAAGGTGGAGGCCGGGTTCCAAGGGCAACGGGCTTGGTGATTCCCCAGTCTGGATCTTGACCTCTCTTGTCTGCATAGTCTCTGAATCTCTGGGTCTGTTTTTGCCTCTCTCCATCCCAGTTCCCTACCTGGGGCATCTCATTCACACACATCCCACCTCTCGGAGATATGCTGTGCCCCTTATACCCTGCTGCCTCTAGGGGCTTCTGGAAAACAGCTGGACTGGGGACAGGTTCCTGGGACTGGGGAGAGAAGGGAGATGGCAGGAAAGAAAGAGAAATGGAGAGACAGAGCTGGAAAAGGCAGAGCTGAGCTGGGGAGCTGGAGGGGATGCCTGGTGTTTGCTCTGAGTTGTTTGTATAAATCCATCTCTCTTTGTCTTTGTTTCTGAATCTCCCATACTCTCCAGGAGGATGGCAGGAGGAGGTGGGTTCCAGCAGAGTAGTGATCTAAGCTGAGATTTGGGAAACCAGGGGAGGGGGGCAGAGCACTGGGTCTTTTCCCCGAGGAGGTTTAGGAGAAAAAAAGAGGGCAGGGGCTTGGAGCCCCTGCAGCTCACCATCCCCCCTTTTCCTCCCCTCCCCCCCGACCGGTGACTCACCTCTGCAGCCTTTCATTGCGTCAGCGATGGGGGACAGACAAGGAGGGGGACACTTTATGAGAGGGGCAGGGGTCTCCACTTTGAACTGAAAGAAGATGCTGAAAGCCCCCCTGAAAATGGCCCCATTAGAATGCATTATTGCCCTATCTCCTGCCCACCCCAGCTCAGTAGGGTGGGGAGCCCTCGGAAGGGGACTGGGAGAGGGCTGGGGGCCACTGGTGGGCCTGGGAATAATGAGTACTAGGAAGGGAGCGCTCACCCTGATTTTCAGTCCCAGGGTCCCATTCCCTCATACCCCCACCCATCCCTGAGTGGGGGAAGGGAGACCCAGCAATCCGGGGGAGGGCAAAGCCGCAGAGATGAGTCACCAAGACAGGGAGAGAGAGAGAGAGACAGAGATGAGGAGAGACACAAAGAGAGACAGCTACTGGAGAGACCCAGAAAGGAAAACACACACACACACACCTTGAAGGTGGTACCCACAAACTAGCAAGAGTAAAGAAATTGTGTACTTCCATAGCCCAAAACCAGCCTTCTCCAGCATCCTCCTGTCACACACACACAACACACTATCATTCAGAGTTACACTGATGTTCTGAGACGCACCCACTTACACAAACACAATGTCACATCTAGTCTATCAGGGTCACGCAGACCCATGCTGAAGATGTGACCAGGGTAATGGAGAGTCACGTTGAGAGCCCTCATTCCTTTTACACAGGATGGTGGGAGGGAGTAAAAATCCTGAAGGAATGTGACTTCAAAAATTCAAGACGCGGATGAGGGACTCACAGTCTATGCGTTGCACACTCGACGATATGTACAAGTAGTGCCTGCCTCCCCGTCCACACGTACATAGTAACATATCAAACATCGTCCTCATCGAAAAGATACTTGGGAGTACCCGATTCTGGGGTACACCAGGCTCGTTGTCCCGAATTCATCCCACCCAGACACCCCTTGACTCGTACACACATGTACAGAAACGCAGACACACAAAGACGCCCATGGACACACTCACACGGAAACCACCTTGCGCTGCCTCGCCCGCGTCCGCACACGTCCTGGCGCCCCCGCGTGTTACTTTTCGGGATCGCAGTCTCCGCCGCTCCGAAGCTCGGCTCCCGGGGGGCGGTGCCCAGGCCGCTTCCACCTCCTCCCTCTCTGCGCTGTGCCCCCCAGGAATGGGGGAAGCGAGTGCGCTGGCCACGAGAGTCGAGAGCTGGGAGTTAGACACCTGGATCCCGGGACTGAGGGAGGCTGGTCCTGGATGCCTAGGGGAACTTGGGAGAAGAGCCCATAGAATTTGGATAGCTGCCGGCTCCCGGGTCGAGGGGAAAACGAGGCTGGGGCCAGTCAAGGAGCCGCGTTGCTACCCGCCTCGGTTCCGAGCAACCTCTTCTTTCTGCCGCTTGGCTGGGGTGGGGGCGGGGGCGGGGGCGCGCAACGGCCAACAGCCCTCCCCTGCTCCCCTCCAGGAAGTCATTAGCCCCATTGCCACGGGGCTTAGAGATCCTCTCTAATACAGGCTGCTGGGGAAGGGGGGAGGATAATGCGTCTCACCCCTCCCCCCAGAGAAGAAGTGAAACAGACACAGAGGGTGGGCTAAAGGTCTGTTTTATTGCAATACAGCCATAGTTGAAGTGACAGGGAGGGTGGCAGTATGGCCGGGGTCAAGACACAGTCAAGGCAGAGCAGCACAGCAGTGAAGCGGGAACCGGGGACAGTGGCGAAGCAGCTTGGGGCCTCTGTGCCCACCTTCTTCCACCTCCTGGCACCCTCATCTGCCCACATCTTGCATTCCATGCCCAGCGAAGCATGTGCTCGTTGTCAGTGAATCCCCAGCAAGTGTCGATTGGCCAACAAGTTCAAGCTACCAGCGTCACACAGAATGAAGTTCTGAGGCATGCTCTGGGCTCGGGGCCGCTGGGTTCTAGTCTCTGCCAGGCTCCAGGCCTCTGCGAGTGACTTGGAAGTCACTTTGATCCTTCTGAGTCTCTGTTTCCTCCCTCTGTGGTAGACGTGGGGATCCAGTACAGGAGGCAGCGCTGTGCAGATGCAGCTGTTACTACTTGCATTTAAACAGAAGACTGACAAAGCCCAAAAAGCATGAGGGAACCAGAAATCCTTGGACGTGGGGGTTCCAGCCGCCCTAGAAGGCAGCCTGGTCAGAATCGGGAGAGAGCCCTCACACCGCTGAGGAACCTGCCCTCCACGACACCAAACTCTCCATCCAGAATCCCCTGGTTCACCGACCTGGGTCAGGCCCCTGGTTGGGGGCCTGCGAAATGGAAACATCGCGCAAAGTTGGAGGAAATCTCAGTCGGAGGGGACAGGCTCAGAAAGGTGTGTCACCAGAGCATAAACAGCTGGCCAGATATGGGTGGGCATCATAAGTCTATTTCACTTACAGGGTCCCTATTGCACACAGGGCGGGTGATGACGAGGTCCTGGGTAAGGGGAATGAGGAGCAGAGGAACCGACAATGAGGAGCTAAGACTCCGGGAGTTCCAGGGAGGAGGGGGATGGGGGACAAAGAGAAAGAGAGAGAGGACACTGACCTAGAGCCACAGGAGGCTGAGGAGGCAGGAGGCGGGGAGAGCGGGGCGCGTTCTGAGTGCCTGAGAAAGGCCAGGAGGAAGAAAAGTAAGACCTATTGAGCAGCTGTGCTCCCGGCTGGGAGCTGGGCGTTGCACACACTTCTGCCCGCTTCTCGCCCGGCCCCGCCCCCCGCCGAGGAGGCAGAAAGGAAAAGCCAGGAAAGGGCAGAGTCCACTGCCAGGCCAGGGCGACGGACAGGAAAGGCTCTGAAGTCTGAGAAGGAACCCATTCCTTGGCCGGGAAGGGGAAAGGGTGGCCAATAGCACCGCAAGAGGCTCCCCCAAACCCAGCGGTGCAGATCCGGGTGTGGCGACGGCGTTTGGGGATGCTAGAGGCAACATGGCAGACAGAGAGGTGAGGGGAAAGAGAAGGGAGGGACCGGCACCAGGTGAGGGTAAGCGTCTGAGCCGACTGCGGAGGGCGGGGGGAGGGGGCGGAGCTTGCAAACAGTAGGGGCGGGGCTTGCTGGGGACCCGGGAAAGGGGGCGGGTCTAAAGCGCTTCCTCTCTCCCCTTCGATGAGAGGCCTCAGATGTCGGCCTCCAGCAGGTCCCGTTCAGTATAACCCTTGACCAGCTCTAGCCCCAAGCCGGCCTGGCGCAAGTCCGCAGGCTGTCATCACAAGTAGGGTGCTAGGGAGACCTGGCACAGGACGTTGAGGCGGGCGAGGCGCCGGGCCTGGCGCAGCAGGTGCCACAGAAGCTGGCTCTGCGCCTGCGCGCCGTCGCTGCCGAACTCATCGGTGTTGAGGTGGCGCCACGTGCCTTCGCCGCCACGCAGGATGGGGAAGGGGCGCGTGCACAGCGTGAGCACGCGCGGGCGCGCGCGGCTGTCCCCGCGCCACTCCGGGCCTGTGGCCGCCAGCAGGCACAGGTTGCTCTCGCTCGGCCGGTAGGGCTGCCGGTCCAGGATGATGGTCCCGCCCGAAAGCACGTCGCGCTGCACAGAGGGCAACAGGAGGCGCCCGCCTCCGACACGGCCTTGGTGGTGGGCAGCGGGGAGAAGGTGCCGGAGGCCTGCAGCGCCGCCGGCTGCGCGTAGAATCAGACCAAAAGGATGCCCCCCGGGGCAGGCGGCGGGAGGGCTAGCGAGCCCGGCGCTTCTCGGCATCTTCACACCCACATTCACACCCACGGGCTCCCACCCGGGCCTTTCGGGAAGACCAACTACGTGGGGCCGGGTGGAGTGGGGAACGGGAAACCCTGCGTCCCAGAGGGCAGCATGGAGGAGCCAGGGGCAAGGCCTGCGAACACCTGGATCCCCAAGGAGAGGCGAGATCAGTGTGGAGTAGCCAGGGAGCTAGGGTTGTGCGCCCCTCAGTTTCCAAGGAGAGTGGAAGCGAGGGAAGCAGATCAGTCGGTAGGATGCGGGAGGCGGAGGGGAAGGACAAGGCTCAGATTAGGATGTTTGGGTCCCTGAAGGCAGGCAGGATCGATGTAGGGGAGACAGGGTCACGGAAGTCTGGACGGCTGGGCCCTTCAGCCTCCCGGACCGCTGGGAGGCGGAAGCTGTTTGACTTCCCCTGGGCAAAAGGCCTGAGTACCAGGACAGGGCTCAAGGGCGCCCCTACTCGGTAGTGCCGGCAGAGAAAGAAAGCCGGTGACCTGCTGGGCGTGGGGCAGGACTCTGGGAGGCCCAGAAGGACAGCCATCCGAGCTCCCTTGTCCTTCTCACCTGCTTGGTGATGAGGCGGTAGTTCTTCAGCTCCCGGGGGCCCAGCCGGTCGTCCTGGGTGAGTCGCGCTACCTTGACCCCCGGGTGCTGTCGTTTGGCCAGCTGTGAGCAGAAGCGCTGGGGCAGCCCGGCCACGCCCCTGCCGCACTCCTGGGGCGCCACGCGCAGCCCCTCCACCGGCACCATCTCCCTGACGTCCATCACATGCATGACTCCAGCGCGATCTGCTGACCGAGGCCTTTAGGGGGCCACCTCCCCGCCTCCGCCCCTGGCAGGGCTCTCGGCTTTTCGGGTTCACCTCTTCCCACTCGCTGAGCAATCCGTCGTCACCACCCCGGGCGCCAGGCCAGACCCGGGGCCTGCCCGGGGAGCTCTCCTCAGCACTTGGGCCTCAGACTCCAGAGCCGTCAGAAAGTGCATTCGCCGGAGTCTCTTCCACCTCTTGAGATGCTCCAGCTCCGCGCGCACCAGATCCCTGGCTGCTCACCACGCCCCTTTTCCTTGACCCCACCCCCAGGAGCTTGCCACACCCCCGGTATCTCCCACGCCCCGCTCGCTCTTAGCTCCGCCCGGCAGCCCGCCTCTGAGCTGGTCCTACTCGCCACATCCAGGCGCTCTTTGTTCGAGAGTTCGGTCTACTCAGGGGTCTGGGCCCGTTTCTAGCTGCTCTCACCCCCAGCCTACCCTCTCTTGCCTGCCACTCTTTTTGTGCTCCTGTCCCCAGAAACCCCTCAAAGGAATCTTCGGATATCAAAGCTGTCATCAGCCCCTTCGGTTCCTCCGCTATTCCAAGTTCTACACGTCTCCCGGCCCACCCTCCCTGGCTGGGCCCCTGGATCCGCAGGCCCTACTCTTTGGTTCTAAAGTCGACTCTCTTTCCTCAGTAACCTGACGAGGGCTGGGGGAGAGGCTTGCTGCCTCTCCTTTGTAGGATCCATGCACCCAAAGGTGGCTTCACCGCTTTTCACCTGCCCCTGCCCCCCGGGCTCTCACCACTCCTCTCTTGCGCTTGGCCAGCGCCGTGGTGCGGTTGGGATCCCGGAGCCAGCTGTGGTAGCGGGTGGGAAGGTAGTAGCCGCCACGTAGATGCCCTCTGAGATGGCCAGCACCTCCTGAAACTCCCGTTCTGTGGCCACCACGAAGTCCAATGGCTTGGCCTCGGCCTAAGGCCCGGATCCAGACCTGCCCTTGACCCCCCAAGGACTTGGCCTTGGCTCTGGACCCTGACTCGGCCCCCAGGGGCTCGCCCTTAGCCTCAAGGCCCCATCCGGACCTGGACTTGGCCCCTGCCTCTTGTGGCTGGATCTCTGAGCCCGGCTCCGCATCTGGCTGCACCTCTCCTTCGGGCTTGGGGACCTCTGAGGTGGCTACGGCCACAGCCAGCTTCCAGCTTCATCACCCTGCAGAAAAGGGAACCCAGCATCAGGGTCAGAGCCCCCTGTCTCCACACCTGGCCCCAAACACACCACAGTCCCCACAACCCCTTCCTACACAAACACCCCTTCTCTTCTGCTCTCCACACTGATCCTGGGAACAGGGAGCATCCAGCTCCCAGAGCTCCCGACCCTAGCCCGCTTCACCCACCGGGATGCTCCTCAATGGCCACCAACTCAGGACATCTTGAGCTCCCCAGAGACTAGCCCTGAATCTCTTCCATACCCTGTCACCCCCAGGGACACACTCAAAGGAGAGAAGCCCTTGGGGGTGTAAATAATGGAGGGCCACCCCCTCAAGGGCCCCACCCTTTCTCTTCAAGGACAACAGGAGACAGAAATTTCCATCATCCCCACTCCCCCTACAGGAGGACTGGGCGGGGGGGAGGGGGGGCAAGCAGAGGGTTCAACTCCCCCCGTTTCCTGCCCCTTATCATCCCCCAGAGGGTGGGGGATATAGACCCCAGATCACCTCCATATTGCTGCCCCAGTGCCCTCCACCCCCCAACACACATGGGTTTTTTTCTGCTTTTTTCCCCCAAATCCCCCCCAGTACATAGTTGTACATTTTAGTTGTGGGTCCCTCTAGTTGTGGCATGTGGGATGCCACCTCAGCATGGCCTGATGAGAAGTGCCATGTCCGCGCCCAGGATCTGAACCGGTGAAACCCTGGGCCACTGAAGAGGAGCGCATGAACTTAACCACTCAGCCACGGGGCCGGCCCGACACACATATTTAAACATAAGCCAAAGGAGTGGACAGAGGAACAGCTCCATTAGAAAATTTCAAGCTGTCCCTCCCAGGCTAATCAAAACCCCCCTTTCCTTCCTCCTTGAGTCTGCTCCCTCCTCCACAGGGAGACTGGTCTCCACTCCAGGGCGAGGGGATCATTGTGAAAAGGGTTCTGTTGGAGCTCCAGCAAACCAGATGTCCACCGAGGTCAGCCATGCCCCCCTCCCCATATACCTCCGCTCCAAAGAAGGAGTTGCTCCCCTTCTCCCTCTGTTCTCCTTCTTTTCAAATTTCTTCCCGTAATCCTTGCCCCATCTCCCACTCAGGCCTTTCCTGCCCCTCTCACTCCTCAAAGTCTCCTTTTTGGGTCCATTCCCTGTGGATCTGGCACCGCTTTGGTCTCAGTCTCTTCTCTTTTCCCTGCCCAGAGAGGGCCAAAGAGAAAGCCCCCTCCTCAAGTCTGGATGACTCATTTCCGGACCTCTCTCCTCCAGACCAACCAAATGAACCAATCAAATGCTGCTCCTCTTTCAGCCAATTATAATTCTCCCCTCACATAACCAACATTAATCTAATAAGCCTCATTAACCAACATCCCAGGGGACACGCATACCAGTTACTTTGTGTGGGATGATATTGGCGTGGTTGGACCTTTTTTTTTTTTTTTACAAGAACACCACCTACGTTTGGGAGATGGGACCAGCAGGGGCCCCAGAGGTGGTTTGGGGATGATTTTAGCTTCTATGCCATAAACATATCTTACATAAACACGGCGTGGTTGCTATACAAACAAGCTTCAAAACAAGAGCTCCATCCGCCCTCTTTCTTTTCAGTCTGATGCTGATGCCTAAGGCTGTCCCAGGTAAGCCCAGGTGAGGTAAGACAGCAGAGGCCAGTACCATCAGAGTGCAGGGGAGGTGCAGGCTCTGAGGATCTGAGAGCCCCGGCTAGGGCCAGTAGAGACCACAGGTCCAACCCCTTCCTTTCACAGTGAGGAAATAGAGGCCCACGAAGTTAAGATCTTGCCTAAGGTGACTCAGCTTGAGCAGAGCCAGGCTAAAAGTTAAGTTTTCCTGGCTCCCAGCCCAGTGGGGGAGACCTCCTTTTGGTGTATCTGGATCTCCAAACCCAGCCTGAAGAGCAAGGATAGGAGTTACTGGGTCTGACAGAAGTCACAGCTCTCAAGTGGCAAGGGCTAAGCTCACTCAGAATCAGAGATGCCCCCCGCCCTGTCCTCCTGCACTGTCAGCAGGTCCTATGCCAGCAGCAAGCTCAAGGATCAGACTCCTTGCACCAAGCTCTGGGGATGATGGGCCCCAGAGGCGCCCAGGTTAGCTGGTGGCTCCCATATGCATTCCAGGCAACCTCACTAGCTGTTCATGGGTCCCTGGAAAATACTAGCTGGCAGTTCAGTGACAGCTCCAGCAATTCTGCACTGCCCCCCAAAGGAGGCAGAATGTGAGCAACTTGTAGACTGGAATACATCCAGCTAGTTCAAGATACTAGGCTCCGGTTTCCCTTCCTGGCTTTCAAGGTGGGGAGACTAATTCCAACAAGTTTCTTTCTGTCTCAGTAAGGTTGCTTTGGGGGGGGCGGGGGGGGGGGGGGGGTGGGGGGGGCGGGGCAGTGCCCAGGGTCACAGGGAGGAAGGGAAAGCTTGCCAATTCATCCTCCATCTTTTCTTCCCAGGCACCACTCTACTCCTTTTCCTTTTTGGGGGGACACAAAGGTTCCAAGGTCCTTAAACCCTGGGGGAGGTGGGTGCTGGGAACAAAGCAGGTTGGGGGTTCCAGGCCAAGCCAAAGCAGCCCCCTGGCCCCACAACCCTTGCTCCACACTCTGACCCTTTCCCACCCTCCAGCACAGTGCTCTCCAACCTGTCCCCTTGAACTATGACTCCTATAAGGTGTCCAGGCAGAGGCAGCCCTGTGCCTCCAGGGCACTGTGGGAGATGTAGTTTGGGCATCTCCTGCACCAAGCTCCAGGAAGAGGGGCAGCATTTCCCTTGCCATCCACATCCCCACATCCTTGTATCCATTCTCTCAATCACATAAATGTGACTGATTACCATGGGGAGGGATGATTGTAGTCATCACTGTGGCCTGCTGGGAGCCCCCCCTCCCCACTCCACCACCCCACACACCTGAAATATTGATGCCCTTGAGGTCGCAGCTTCTTGGAACTGGAAGAGGGAGGAGAGGGAGCGGAGAGTGGAGAGGCGGAGACAAAGAGATGGCAGCTACACAAAGCGCTCGAAGAAGAGAGCGAAAAGGACAGGAATGGAGGCAGAAAGGAGACAAAGGCAATAGGGACATGCCAGGCGGGAGAGCATGGGAGAGGGGAGCAGGAGGAGGCGCGGATACCGAGTCACAGGCATGACACCTCGTGACTCAGGGCCCAGCAGATGCCCAAAAAGTCCTAGCAGGCAACCCCTGCCAGCCTCCCCTCAGGGAGACCGTAAATGGAAAGCACGACACACCCCCTTCTCTCTGGGGCGGGTGGTGGGGGAAGGGGTCAATGGGAGGAGAAAGCCGGAAAAGAGGCTAGGAGAGAACAGAGACCTCGAGAACAGAGGCAGAGGAGACAAGATGAAGTGGGGCAGGGGCTGAGGAAGATGGACCAACGAGCCGGGAAAAGGGGGTGCCCCAGAAGGCCACAACTGTGGAGGAGGGGACAGTACTGGAGGGTCTTCCCAGGTCTTCTGGGGAAGCAGGCGGGAGGGAGATTCCAAAGGAAGCTGTCTACTTGGCAGAGGTCCCCCCTGGGCACCAGACTCTGGAGACAGGTGGGAGTGAAATGGCGACGGGGTTGGGGAGAGATGACGGCAAAGCGCATCTGAACACCTGAGGCGAAGTCTGGGTCTCGTTATCTGGGTCACCCTACGGGGAGGGGCTGGGCCGTAGGGGGCGCAGCGGCTTCCTTCCCCCGGGGGGCGGTGGCCTTCTGCTGCCCCCATTCTGCGGCAGAGGAGCAAGCCAGCCTCCAGCCCCCGGGCCCGGCGGCCCCCCTACCTCGCCGGAGCCGGGGCCGGGATGCTGAGAAGCGGAGCGGGCAGGCCGCGCAGACAGCAAATGGTCCCGAGACAGGGGTCACTTCGGAGCCCCGAGGGTCAAATTCGGAGGACGCGCGGGACCCGGCCGCGCCGTCCGGTGCGGACTCAGAGCTCGGCTGCGAACGAGGGTCTGCGCTGGGGCTCGGGCGGGCACCCAGAGGCTGCGGGGGGGGGGGCGGGGCGGGGCGGGGCGGGCGGCTCCGGCCGCGAAGCTCGGGCTCGGCCCGGCAGCGGCTCCCGGGGGCGGAGACCCCAGCGACGCGGAGGAAACCCGGCACGGATCCGGAGCGGACTCGGGTCCGGCGGGGGGCTGGCGGGGGCGGGGGTCGGTGGCGGGAGCAGCTGCCGGGGCCGTGCGGCCGGGTGGCCTCGAGTCTTGACGAGACTCCGCCCCTTGTCCCTCTGGGGAGCGGGACTGAGAGTGGAGAGGGGTCTTGAGTTTTGGTGGCGGGGGTAATTGTTGGATGAGTTACCGCCCCAAGCCCCCAGCACCTCTATGCTGCGTCCGGGAGTCCCTACCGCCCCGTCGTCCCCCTCCTCCAGGGGCCACCCCCCTCAGCGTAATCCCTTTTCTCCCACCTCTGGCCGCGGGATAAATAAGAGTGGCTGGAAGGGCCAGGGGGAGCCGATGGCCTTGGGGAGCCGGTCGGAGAAACTGACAGAGGAAAGTGGAAACCCGTGAAGATCCGGAAGAGAGGAGACACCAAGAGACGAGCAGAGAGGCTAGAAGGAGCGGAGCGAGGCCGGGACGGGTCAGACGGCCCCCACTCCTTGGGGTCCCAGAGCAGCCTCGCTCCCCGGGTGCACAGGGCCGGCTCAGCTCACACTCAGCCGCTTGTATTTCGCCGGCCGGCAAGCAGCAAGGCCCCCGCGGGGCAGCACCCAGAAAGACAGACTTCTAGGTACACCCGTGTGCACCTGAGCACACGCACACGGACCTTGGAGCACACGCAAGCGAGGGGAACTGCGCACGCGGGACTCCGGATCCGGTGCTAACCCGGGGGTGGAGAAAGAGAGGGAGGAAGAGCGAAGGACGGACCTGGTCGCCAGCGGGTGCAGCGCGGCCCTGCCTCTGGTAAGCTGGTGGCCGACGTTCCTCACTCCTGAGGGGTTCCCTCCACCCTCATAAAGTGACATAAAACCACCCGCAGTTCCATCTATAAGGAGCCAGGAAAGTGA